CTATAGTTAAACTAAATTGTGGTGTTTCTTTAGTTTGTTGGTGTTCCCTTTTTATAAGTGGGTTTATTACTTTTCCGAAGGGAATGCAGCCGGAATCGTCTAGGCATTTCTGAAAGGGCAAGTTCCAAGTTTATTGTGCAAACTGTGGTTTATATAATAAAATCTGACAATGAAATATTTTCTTGAATATTAAAAATAACTACGGTTGCAACAGTGACAAGATTATCAAGAAGAATTGACAGTCACAAAGATGTTATCATTTTAAGTAAGTGTTCAGCAATGATTGTTACTGAAAAAGCCTGAGTCACTTACTTGTTTGCAACATGATACTTCCTTACATATCATGCATGGTCAAATAAACATAGAACATTGAGTGACTACTGACGTAATACGAACACCTCGCTTAAAATCAGTTACCCTCTAGGCCACCGTTCTATTGGTTACGTATAGGGTGGGATTAATTTAGAAATATATTTGTTTTTTTCTGCTAACGTTTGTAATTTCTTAAAGTGATGAGAATATCATGGACGGCGCATGTGAGCAATGGGGAAGTTTTATGGAAAATGGTACGGAAAAGAACATTTTTATTTAGAATCAGAAAGAGACACTTGAAATATTTGGGATACATAAAGAAAACAGAAGGTGTGGAGAATTTGACACTCACTAGACATATTGAAGACAAGAAGGACAGGTAGACAAATCGAGTAATTTACGTACTGACCTTGCGTAAATGAATGACAAACCATGGCCTTACAAACATTGCTAAGATCTATAAAGGATAGGAACTTGTGGAGACCCATGATCACCCACATCTTGATGTTAAACATTGAAAATGAAATTTAACATTATCTTTAATTTTTTATTATGTTTTGATGTGACTCTCGCCATTTTTTTAAATAAATTGCCACATAGATTTTTATTCAAATAATTTTTTTTGGAATATTAATTTCATAGTAGAATTTTAAATGTAATAATAATTTTTGCTTAAATCTATTGGAAATGTTCAATGATGTACAGCGTATATTCGGTCGAAAGCAACGGTTTGTAGGTATTAGGGCAATCGAACATAGAATTTAATCTACCTGTGTATAGATTCTTAGTCCAAGTGTCTCTAAATTATCGTCCAATAATCTGTAGACATTAGGTCATCACTATTTAGGCCGAAGGCTAGTTGATTAGATCATAGGCAACTCTGTGGAGATAATAGACCATTGACCTGCTTAATATAAATATTGGTCAAATTGATTAAATCTTCTGCCAAATGTATATAGATTTTAGTTTAATTTGTTTAGGTCTAAGGTCAGTTGTATGTATATCTTAAGTCAATGAATTAGGCCAGATCTATGTAGATTTTAGACCAGTTATATCTAGAACCTGGGTAATCCAACTGTATGTAGAAATTAAACTACTTGTACCTTACAATAATTGATAAGGTCACAAACCAACTGCATGTAGATCTTAGGCCAACTGTATATAGGCCTTGGGATAATTGTATGAATGTGAAGTCCTGTTTCAGAATTGTAGAAAATTGTTAATAGATTTAAGGGCTATCCGTGAAATCTCAGCACACAGAATGTAACTCAATTTTTGTATATCGACATGAACCAGATATTTGAATTTATGTATTCATAAATATTTAATCAATTAAAGACGTTGCACGAGATGCGCAATATTCTTTGAATTGGTAGACGATGAAATATCTCTTAAAACTAAACTTTTGTAGGCTCAATTTCAGAATATGTTCGAAAAGGAATATTTAAAAATTGGGAAAATATATATTAGCCAATAAGTTTGAGATTAATAAATCTAAATCATAGATTCATCCAGAACCTACTATTTTATTATAGATATAATCAATTCTTGTTTGCTAACTGGTCCCTCAGTAAACCTTTGACCATTGGGTTTGATCGATCTTTTTTTATTCAAACGAAACTGAAATTCTTACACTTCATTAATTACTTATATCCTTCGCATATTTATTCGAATATACAATATTACAAAATTTTGGTTTAACGATAGGGATGAGAAGACTGCTGTTATAAAAAAAAATCTCCACAACCAGAGTCAACTTTTATTTATTGGTATGATAAATTACTATCGAAGATTTTTGCCACATTGTTCATCAAACTTAGCACCACTGACAGACATTAAAAATCTCTCAGAAAAAGAATGCAAAAGTTTTACTTCAAGGACCTGCTTTAGACACTTTTCACGAAGGAAAGAAAGCACTGCTGAATTTCGAAAAAAATAAATTACCCAAGTGATGGTGAAAACGCAGTGCTAACTTTAAAAAGAGATGAGTCCTCGAACATTGTTGGTGCCGTTTTACAGCAAAATATTAACGGAGCAAACAAACATATATCCTTCTTCTCCCCCCTCACAGATGAAATACAGCACATTTTCGAGAGAATTTCTCGCTATCTATTTAGCTATTCAAAATTTCCGTTATATTTTAGAGGGACGCGAATTCACGGTATTTACTGACCAGAAGCCATTCAATTATGTCGCTTCCAGCAAACCCGACAAATATTCGCCAAGTGAAACATGACATCTGGACTACATTTTACAATTTACTTCATATCTACAACTTGTTTTTAAACGCCTGCCACATATTGGACTGAAAATTAATGTCGATAAATTCACGTTTGATGTCAAAAGGTTGGTAGACGAAGCATGAAAAGGTTTATCTTTCACTTACGCATACAATGACAACGTATTGGTAGTAAGTAGATATATGGACGAACACATGAAACATCTCCAAGGTGTTTTTAAACGCCTGCCACATTTTGGACTGAAAACTAATGTCGATAAATTGACATTTGATGTCAAAAAAACTTTCATTTTTGGGACACACCATAGACGAAGCAGAAATATCACCTCTGGTTGAGAAGATAGCTGCTATATAAAAAAAAATTCCCATTCCTAGAGACAAGTCGTCAATTCAAAGCTTTGTTGGCAAGATTAGTATCGAAGATTTTTGCCACACTGTTCATTAAATTTAGCCCCACTGACAGACATGTTAAAAAACATTCAGAAAAAGAATGGAAAATTTTTGCTACAAAATCCTGCTTTAGAGACTTTTCTCGAAGCAAAGAAATCCTTGCTGAATTTCTTAAAACTAAATCACCCAAGTGTTAATGAAAACGCATTGCTAACTTTAACAACAGATGGCACATCGAACGTTGTTGGTGCCGTTTTATAGCAAAATATTAACGGAGAAAACAAACCTATATCCTTTCTCAAGTTGAATTCCTCAGAGATGAAACACCACATTTCCGAGGGAACTTCTCGCTATCTATTTAACCATTCAACATTTCCGTTATATTTTAGAGGGACGCGAATCCACGGTATTTATTGATCATAGGTCTCTCACATATGTCCACTAGAGAAAGCCCTATAAATATTCGCTACGTGAAAGAGGGCACCTGGACTAAATTTCGCAATTTACTTCAGACCTACAATATATAAATGGTGAAGAAAATATTGTAGCAGATGGAAGTACCAGTACTATCATATCTTCAATAAACAGGGAAATACTAACGGCGATGAACAAAAAAGTCTCTACACTTTTGCATGTCAAGGTAGATACTTCACTGTAAATTTATATTTTACCTATCAATTTCGATCATTCGATTTTCTTATGTGCCATGAAAAAAGGTAACACTCGACCTTATATACTCCCAACGTTACGTAAAAAAAATTCAACCAACTTCATGTTTTCTCAAATCCTGACACAAATCAAAGCAAACCAATAAACAACATGTCCTCACCTAAAATTTCAATACCTCTAACAGCAATAAAAATGGCTGCACTGTACATTGATCATGGCATTTAGAGACATAAATAACAAATCAGATTTCATAAGAGAATCTTGTTCAATCTGGGGAGAATATTGTTAGATTACCGCCCCTTGATTAATAAAATCTCACTGAGAAGTGATATTTGAATTATCGCCCGCTGATGATTTACAGGCGGCGCGAGATTTGACAGACACAATCTCTTTCTCGGTGAATTTTCATAGCGAAAACAATACGTCTTTTCGCTTCAGCAAAAAGTGAATAATCAACTACAGACACGTAAATCTGCTTTGATCTTTTCCCATTTCATTTCATTTCTCATCTTTTCTTCTTTAAGATATTCTGACAATAAATTTCTTAATATTTCTTTGTTAAAATTCTATTTCTTTGGACTTACGCGAGTCCACCAAAATTCTTAGCGGTCAAATGTACCACGATCTTATAACTTCTCATCAAAAGAATATATACCCGCTAAAATCACGTATATGATACGACCCCCTTAAAATTAGCTTCAAAATTAGGTCTTTAAAAGTCGCATGATACGCTAGTATATATGGTATATATTATTTGATACGTCTTCAGCTTTTCTGTGGTCTAATCTTCGTACATCTTTGACAAAGTATATTGGCTTAAAACTGTAATCTTTTTCGTCTCTCTTTTATTTATATTCTCGTTTCTTTTCTCCTATTAATATTCATTACAGCAATGCCGCAACTAACAACCAGTGTTGCCTTTTAATAATCAATATCAGAAATATTGTTCCTACGAACGCATTATCCGAGCAGTTGTATCATCAATATGTCATCGTTGATGGATAATCGATATATGAGCGTTGGTTTTTATAAGGTAAAGATTCCAAGCGAGTTAGTGACGATGTAAAACAAAAAAAAAAAAAAAAAAAATGGCGTTGATGTGTTCTTGGCGGGATTTGCACGAGACAAGGAAAAAAATGAATATGAAAGTGTTTTGGGCTTCGTCATTGGAATGAAGTTTTATGGAAACCATTGATGAATGTGAATGTTATACAGGGATTTGAGTTATGCAAACTATTTTCTTTTTATTTTCTATAATTCTTTTACGTTATTTTTTTCTCTTCAGTTTTTCTGTTTCTCTTCTTTTCTACTGCCTTTTTCTATTCCTTTATAATTCCTTATTTTTAACTGTTTTTATTCATCTCTGAGACAGTATCTATTTTCTCCCTTGATGTTAATCTTTCTGTTTCGTTTTATTTCTTTCATTGATTTGTTCCCTTGTCTTCCTCTAATTGATAGTATTTTCTATATTTACCATTCTCACACCCTTCGCTTCCTTTATTTATTTCATTATTTTGCTCTTTTTCTTTCTCTAATTTTTTCTCTTTTCTCTCTTTTGTTCTTTTTGCTACATTTTCAGTCTTTATTTTCATTTGTCTTCTGTTTTTTTCCCCTTTACTTCTGTCTTTTTCTTTCTTTTCTCCTGCCTTATATTTTCATTTGTTCTTTTCTCTTATGTCTACCCTTCTTTCTACCATTATCTTTTCTCTCTTCCCCCGTTACGTCTTTACACTTTCATTCTTCTTACCTTTCTTTATCTTCTATTTCTTTTTCTTTTTTCTTCCTCTTTACTTTTTCCTACACCTTTTTTGCTGCCTTTCGTGAATTTAACAAACACGCGTTGCCACTTTTGTGATGTCAACGAATACTCGTTGACACTTTCATAAGGCTCGTTGTAGTAGAGACTTTGTAATCGCAGATTTGATCAATACCGGTGTCAGACGCCTTCGAATACCACTCGTACTAATAATACCTGCTCGATAATACTCGCTCGAATAGTAATTCGAAAAGAGAAACAGTATAGTGAATAGAGTAGAGAATAGCGGTCCGAATAGTAATAGAGGATAGACTAGAAATGTAGATCCGTATAATATAGAGGATAGACTAGAAATAGCGATTCGAATAGTATAGGGATAGACTAGAAATGGCAACATTAATCATCACGATACTTTCTAATGATGCGTTTAGTCTATAGTCACGTGGTCTACTTAATTCAATAATGGGATCCCCGTGTTTGCTCACCGGCAATCTATGTTCAAACTCAAGTATCGGCAGCGACACTTTTTTTCCTATATAACACTTTTTTGTCTTTCTTCCTTTTTGATTTCTGTCTTTTTTCTTTTATTCCTCCATTATTGTTCTATTTTTTCTATTTGCGGTGTACAATTAATTGTATTCTAATTTCTGTTTTTATTTTCCTAGATTTATTCCTTTTTATTAGTTTTCATTACCCATTCTTTTTCTTTTTTTCTTATTTCCTTGACTTTTTTCTCAATCTCCATTTATTCTTTCTCTTCTTTTTCTTTTCTTTTAGCCTTTCTATTCGTTTTGAAAATTTCCTTTTTCTCTATTTTAATATTTGCCGCCAATTTACTCTTTTCAATTTACTTTATTTTTCATCATCTTTTATTCTTTTTTACTTTTTCAACTTTACACCTTTTGTAGTTTTTTTCTTCTTTTATTCCTTTACATTTGTCCTTTTGCTTACATTGTATTTTCTGGACCTTCTCCCTCTTTTACAATCGTTCTTCCTTTCATTCTTTTTTTCTCTATTTCTCTCATCATACTTTTTAACTTTTCTTTCTTCATTTTTTCAACTTTTTTTTTCTTCCTTTTCCTCAACTTTTCTTTCTGTCTTCTTTTCCTTCTTTTTCAGTCTTTCTTTTTCTTTTTTCAATCTTAGTACGCCATTGATCAATGCTGGTGCCGGACGCTTTCGTATAGCACTCGTACTAATAGTAATTGCTCGATAATATTAAAAAAAGAGAAAGAAAGACTGTAAAAAGGAAGGAAAAGACGACAGAAAGAAAAAGAAAGAAAAGTTGAAAAAGTAGAATGAAAGAAACAGAGAAAACATCAGGAAAGGAAGAAAGATTGAAAAAGAGGGAGAAAATCCAGAAAATATAATGAAAAATTGAAAGACAAATAGAAAAAGGATAAAAGAAAACAAAAAAAACTACCAAGCATGAAAAATTAAAAAGACTGAAAATGTGATGGGAAACAAAGAAAGCTGGAAAGAATAAATCGGCGACAAAAATTAGGTTGGTGCAAAAATAATGACGTAATAATGTCGTTTTTGACGTATTTTTAACGTCAAAAACGACATTATTACGTCATTATTTTTGCTCCAACCTAATATTATACTTTCATTTTTTCCCCTATTTCCCTCATTATACTTTTTCAACTTTTCTTTCTTCCTTTTTCTCAACTTTTCTTTCTGTCTTCTTTTCCTTTCTTTTTTCAGTCTTTCTTTCTCTTATACAATGTTTCTTCCTCCTTTTCAAACTTTTGTTTCTTTATGTCTAGTCATCGTTTCTCTTATTAAAGTACTTTTACTTTCTCTCTTTTCAACCTTTTTTTTCTTCCGTCCATGTCCTTCTTACTCTTTTTCTATCATTCTTTCTTTCTTTCTAATGATTTCCTCTATCTTATCATTTTTTCCTTTTCTTGTGGTGGGGGGAATCTTTCTTTCTGCATTGTTTTGCATTCTGCTTTTTTCAGTCTTACCTTTTTCGTTTCTCGTCATTCTTTCTTCTCTTTCTTTCTCTTTTAACGATATTTCGTTCTTTTCTTCTTTCAATGTTTTCTCTTTCTTTTTATTTTTCAATTTTTATTTTTCATATTTTTCCATTCATTCTTTATTTCTTGTCTTTCTTTCTCTTTTTCATTCTTTCATTTATTAAATTCTCATTTTTTTCTTTCTTGATTTCCTGGCTTTTGTAATCTTTCATTATTTCTTTCTTTTTATTCTTCCGTAATTTTTTCTTTCTTTTTTTCAATATTTTTTTCTGTGCTTCTTTTCATGTTTATACTTTCGTTAATTCTATCTCTTTTTTCTTTCTTTGTCTCTGTTTATCTGTTTATTTGCTTCTTTCTTTCTTTCTTTCTTTCTTTCTTTCTTTCTTTCTTTCTTTCTTTCTGATTTATTTGTTATATTCCACTAGTTTTCTTCCCTAATTCTTTTTTGGAAAATACTTCATTTCTCTTCTCTTCCTCTCTTTCTGTTTTTAACTTTTTCAACTTTCCTTCCTCCCTGCCTTTACTATCTTTTTTTCTTTTTCCATTATTCTTTTTCTTGTATCTTTTAGCAAATTTCTTTTTACATTTCATTTTTCTCTGATATGCACAAAAAATTCCTTTGTTTAAATCACGAAACTAAACAAAAAAGTACGGGATGGTAGCGAAGAACAACAAGCTTGCAAATATTTCTTCGCTTCCTGTTGCAAAACAAGTTTCTTATTTCAAAACAGAAGGAGTCGTCTAAAATGTGGCGGGGGATTAAAATTATAAAACGATAAATATTAAAAAAATATTATCAAACCTGATAAACAGATTTCCTTTTCATGGGAAACACGTAAATTTGGTAAACATCTTATCTGAATGCATTTGTTGGAATACCGGACTGATAGCCGAAAGCTTTTATTAAAATGTGTCGAATTGAAAGTGTAAATTATAACCAAGCCTTGCCAAAAGATTAAATTACAAGAGATTCTATCCTCGTTTCAAAACACACCGGTGGTTGGGTTGTCATATAAAAATAGAAAAGGTCAAATCATATTAAACGCCTAATAATTTAGGACGAGAGAATAAAATAAAATCCGCGACAAGGAAAGATTTGCGATTTTACCGTTACCTGCTCGGCTTTTTTGCATCGATTACCGGGTGATCGCTATGTGTAGAAGCATAAAAGATGGCAAGATCGAAAAGTGACACCATTGTATTTTTTTTTCAAGCAAGGCGGAAGTGCCACTAGCACGAAAAGGGTTACAGAGAGTGGGAGCAAGAGTAAAGAGGCGTCATAGAGGAAAGGATAAAGAGAAGGACGGGTAATAGATCAAAGCATCTGTAGATGTCGATTGACATTGCATTTGAATATTTGGAAATTATCGATATCAGGGAAGCAAGTAAGAGAAAGGGAGTTCAACGGACGGGAAGTGCGAGACATAAAGGCATTGGAGTAGAAGAGACGGCTACATTTAACTGTTTCGAGACTGAAAGGATGGGACTGAGATGCCAACCTAGTATCATTTTTAAATTCATGCAATTTCGGAACAAGCAAAAGTAGCTCGTCGGATCAATTACCGTGAAAGTATTTGTAGAAAAAACAGAGGGAATCGACGGCACGTCTGTGAGAGAGCAACAGTAATCGACATGCCAGATCAGAGCCAATCACATTGCCTATCTGTCTCTGGATTTTGTCGAAGACCTTAAGACGAACAAGGGGACCGAAGACCATATATGGCAGCAGTATTTCATGCAAGGGCGAATATTTGATTTATAGCTTCGAAGCATGTACTGGGGTGAGAAAATACTTTCTTGCGCGACACAGAGCACCAACTGTCCTTGTGGTAGATGAAGCCATTGATTTAATGTATTTGTTCCATCTCAGGTCAGCGGGCAGCGTGAGACCAAGCAGGAGTAGAGAGTTATCTCGTGGAGTTGAGCAGATTAACACGACGAAAAAAAGTTGGAGGAATCATTCTTTTCTCATTAATATACGCCAATAACGAGATGGGACGACTGTTAATAACTGCGAAATGAAGAGCGTGTAAGGCTTCCTTGGTGGCTGAACACGAATAATTTTCTTCTCGCTGGCAAAACGCTTCCTCATCTAAGGAACTGAGATACTCCTTCCCGACAGTTTAATTATTCTACTTCTAGATGTCGTGTCCCTTCAGGACATTAGTGATCATGGCTCTCTCCACAATTCCCTGTCCGTAGAACTTGGTAAACTTCTTTTTTTTTATCTCCCCTAAACCCTGTTCTGACATCCTTTTACACGAGCTGTTTCCCTCCCTCTCCCACCTATCCCCCTCTCTCTTCCTCTCTTCCGGCCTTTTTGAACTGAATACGTTATTTAGAACAATCTACTCCCGGAAGCTAAATAAAGTGTTTGGTTCAAAATTCCGACAAATATCACCTGAAGAAGGCCGGAACGTACAAAGCCTGAAACTTCGTGAATGTGACAGAAAAGTTGAGGACAACAGTCCAAACAATGTATATAGTTACAATACCTCATCGCAGGGATATAGACAAATCCTGGTTTGTTTTCTAGTCTCCTTAGAGTTATCTTAATGTACAGGTTAAATCAAGTAAAAAAAAACATATTTTGAAGCAATATACGATTATGCTCATTACACAAGCTGGGAGTGTAAAAAAGAGCCTGCTATTCGGTAAATGGGCTAAACCCACTCGGAGACGACAATCCTATCTTCGTTCGGTTTCGACCAAAATGTTTTCGTCTGGGAGGGAATTTCAGAGCCCCCGATCGGTCATTATGGCTTATTACTCTCTTGGTTTTAGAATTAATGAATGTTACAAGGCAGTTTTTTTTTTTTTTTTTACATTGAGTTTTTGAATTGGGTAAGCAGAAAGATCAGCTGTAAAGATTTGAACTTCTCGATTTATGAGGGACTTCAGCACAGACTTTTACCAATAATCTGTGAATGGTCCTCGTAAGAAAGTTAATAAAAATCAGAAAGAGATTTAAGCACAAGAGAAAACCTTTGGGGTTGTCTTCATTAATCTCATTGACTTCAGAGGACATGCCCTTTCCAAAGATCTAGTGGCACTAAAGTATGGATCTCAGTTGGATATTTGCCATAGAAGTAGTGATAAGCTTGAACCGTTAAGGGAAAAACAGTCAAAGAGGGGAAAATAGATCAGATCACCCAAAAAGTCGTACAGGCGATTTGAACACTGTCAGGCTGGGAAAGTGACCATTAGATATCTCCAGCCCAGTAATACTCCATTTTGTGAGCTGATCTTAATCTTGTAAAGATAAAACATTACCGAAGTAGTTAAGTACTTCCTGAAGTGGCACAACTTTGTCATTGGTCTGCTATTATACACATAAACTGTTGCTCTTTGTTTTTCTTCAAATATATCCTGCAATTAACTATCGATCTTTTACGATCAATTTTTGTCCTTGTTCTGCCATCCATTTATAGAAACTTTGCAAGTAGGTTACTCGCGATTACTTCTGCTCTGATTGCCTTAATCATGTCTTGTGAGTGTTAATTTCTCCAAGCACCCTTTCATGGGATACGTTTCTCCTTTAGGCAGCGCTTAAACATATTTTCCAATACTGTAGATGACTATAGGCTAAGGCTCGTAAGAAAAACAAAAGGCTCAGTAGCGTTTTTAGAGTCGTGGTTTTATATCCAGAAACTTCTCGAGCCGTGGGAGTGAGATCGCTAAGTTTGCGTTCCGTGAGAGGAGGGAATTATCAATGCGAAAGCCCTGATTGTCTAGCGTATGTTTCAGGCAAATTTATGTATAGCTGTCACATCTTATTCTTGCCTGCCTATCTATCTATCTATCTATCTATCTATCTATCTATCTATCTATCTATCTATCTATCTATGCCAGTCTGTTGCTATCTATCTATTTATCCGAGTCTATTGATATCTATCTATCTATCTATCTATCTATCTATCTATCTATCTATCTTCATCTGTTCATATCTATCGCAGCCTGTTCCTATCTATCTATATATCTATCTATCAATCTATCTATCTATCTATCTTCCCCATGTAAAACAATATTTAAGTCAATCATCTTCACTTTGAATCAACATAAATCATATCTCCTGGTTGCATACTTTTACCTACCTGTAAATTGGTAGAAGCTGCGTATATTTTTGTTCGAAAATGCAATGGTAATTGTAGAATTCTAACGCCAGATATATCGTAGTAGTCAGAATGAGAAATTCTAACGGGCATAACAAATAATAGACATCTTTCTAACGAAATATTTTAGAATTAATCTATTTTGGAAGACTTTCGCAATAAATATCAGGTAATATACACAAGTAAGGTTTTGGGTCAACCAAGAAATCTTTAAGAAATCAATCAATCTGGTATTTGTTAATTTTGTCAGATCAGGGGAACGGATTTGGACTGTAATATTTTCAGCGAGTCTTCTCCCACTGAAGCCGTACTGTTTCTTGGTTAATTAATTGGTAATAGATGTAGATCTACAGAAGGCTGCTGAGAATACAATGGAAGGAAAATGTGAGCAACGACAAACTTTTAAGGAAATCGGATCGAAAAATGCATTTCTTCTTAACATCAGACAATCAGAGGAAAGTGTCTTGTAAAATTTGTCACTTAGAGAACATATAAAAGGCCAGAAGGACAGATCAAAACAGGGGCTAGCATTCCTAACGAGCTTGTGTAAATGAGAGAGAGAGAATATGGATTCGTTGAGATATTAAGGCGACAGGCATTGTTTAGGGCTACAAATGTTAGGCACCTGTGGATAGATATAAACGCTCAAGAAGAAGACAACAACAACAACAACAACTACTACTACTACTTTTGCTTTATTTTAATTTGGCACTTAGTGTGAAAAACAAAACTATGGCCTGGGACCGCCTACACATTGGCAGTTGCATTTGAACACTGCTAAGTACATCTCCAGATTATGAAGGCGAATTAATGAAAGAACGTTAAAAGTTGAAATAAGAAATTAAAAGTCTTGAAAATTAATACAAGAAAACAGAATGAAGATGCAAAATCTTTGTTACTTAAAGAAAGGGGGGGATGTAGTGGATGAAAAGAAAGATACTTAGCTGGAAAAAATGAAAATGAAAGAAAAATGAAATAAAAACCGAAATGAAAAGAGGAAAAATAAAACGATAAAAGAATAGAAATAGAAAAGGTCTTAGAAGAAGAAAAAG